GAATAGAAAAACTCTTATGTCCAGCCTACATGAATAGTATGGAACAAAAACACCATATATGCTGTCTTACCCTGAGAAGGTGAGCCTGAGGATAATTTCATGGCTAATGATTGCACATTTCAGAATTTACAAAAAGAGACCCAATCAACAAGTTGTCAGAAAAGTCCTTCTTTGGCTGCATATATTTTTTTCTCCAGTATATTAACTACATTCTACTTTCTGGAAGTCGTTTTAACTTTTTCAAGTCACAAGTGAAACATCTGACTTATACAAAATCAGTCACATAGGAATTTACATGAAACCAGAGAGAGAGAGAAATCAATGATAGATGGATAATAGATGAAAATATAAATAGGTAATAGATGAATAGAATGATTAATGGATCTCCACGAGTCTATAAGGAAATATATTAATTAAAAGACCTTAACACCTTAAGAGCAAATCACTGATAACTGCAGTCATGCACCATGTCAAGATGTTTCCATCAACAATGGACCATCTATAGTGTATACAATGGTGCCCCTTGAGGAATGTGTAGGCAGATCATGTAGCTTAGCTGTGTAATAGGCGAAGACATCTGGTTCAGATAAGTACACTCTATGACATATGCAGAATAATAAAATCACCTACACATTTCTTGGAATGTATCTCTGTCATAAAGTGACTTATGACTATGATTTGGCTTTTGATTTGAAAGAGAGCTTCTAATAAAATAAAACAAAATAGAAAAAATGATTATTTTAGGACTTTTTCTACCTATAATATCTTTTACTTGAGCAAAAGAGGTGATTTTTGAAATATAAGTTGGGGAAGATTTTTCTGTACAATTTAGTAAAACATAAAATAGGGCAACAAATCTTTCTAAATGATGAGCAAGTAACAGCTGCTTTTTTTAATGGACCTGCTTTCTATGTACCAAATACTGAAACGAAATAGGAATTGTACCTGCATTTTGTTTGTTTATGAAAACTTGGAAATCTTGGTTTACCCTTTGGTGAATAATAAAATTGTTAGCTGTTGAATTGATTTACCTGTCCTGGACCCCACAGCCAGGAAAGAACTGTGGCCTTAAAGTCTTGTTCTTCCTACTGTATTACACAGGCTGAGCTCACCCACTCTCAACCTGTTCACTTTGGTCTGGGACTCCAGAGACTGGGGCAAAGAAGCTGGGACAAATCACAGATATCTGAGACATTGCCAAAGAGGTTGGTGTTATTGTTATCAGAGCCAATGTAGTCATGAGGGCATTTCCTTTCTGAGTAGAAGACAATGAGAAAATACAGCAAAACTCTTACAACAACTCTTATTATTCTATTAGTTCCCAATATTTTTTTTCTGCCCCAACACATAGAAAGATTAGGACACATTTCCATTGGCAGCGATGGTTTTAGCCTCTGGAGGGTGGGGGTGGGGGGGTAAATTCCTGTAGGTGGTGCCAGCCTGAGGAAGGGGACAGCAGGAAAAAGGAAATCACTACCTTTTTTAAAAAAATTAGTAACTTTATTTTTAAAACTGTGGTGTATCCTGGCTTGTTTAGGGAAGCTATGCTCTAAACTCCATCTTCTAGACTCCCAAAATATTCAGACAAGAAGCCATTTTAAAGCTGAGGTGTGTTCTTGCCTGTTCAGGGAAGCTATGCTCTAAACTCCATCTTCTAGACTCCTGAAATATTCAGACAAGTGGAGGAGAGATTTTTGTCACCGAATGACCAGAAACCACCACGGAGGCACAAGAAACATGAGAAACCAAGAAAATATCTTTCTCCTAAGGGAAAAAGAACTATCCCTCATCATCTACAGACAGTACAGTAGAACTCTTCGAAATGTCTGATAGAGAATTCAGAATATTCATAGTGACAAAACTAACTGTGAGATGCAAGAAGTGAGCGATAATGAACTCCAAAAGATGCAGGAAAAAAGAGACGAGTTCCAGGAGGTGTTGAAGTTCTTCCATTAACTGAAAGAGGAAATACACACGATAAAAAAGAATTAAATGGAACTATTAGAGATGAAGGCTGCCATTCAGGAAATCAAAACCTCTGTCGAAAGTATTAAAAGCAGATTAGTCCATGCAGAAAATCAAATCTCAGGTGTTGAAGGCAAAACCTCTGATCTAGAAAAAACAACCAAAACAAACCCTAAGAAAATAACCCCCCCAAAATGAGAATTCTATACGAGAAATACTAGACAGCATTAAGTGCCCAAACATCTGGATAATCAGCATCTCAGAAGGTAAGGAAACTAATAAGGGCATTGATAATCTATTCCATGAAATCTTGGAAGAAAACTTTCCAAATCTAGAGAGGCATATACCCAGACTCAAGAAATACAAAGGGCCCCTAATAGAATCAACCCAAGAAGATCTTCTTCAAGGCACATCATAGCCAGACTGGCCAAATCTACAAAGACAAGATACTAAAATTGGCAGGAGAGAAACATCAAGTTATTTGTAAAGGTTATCCAATCAGGCTAACCTCAGACCTCTCATCGGAAACAATGTGAGCAAGGAAAGAATAGGAAAATATATTCAAAGTGTTAAATGAAAAATAGTTTCAACCAAGAATACTATACCAGGTAAGATTATCTTTCATATGGAAAGAAAGGATAAAAACATTCTCAGATAAACAAGACCTAAAAGAATTTGCCATTAGCAGACCCACTTGTCAAGAAGTTCTAAAAGGAGTACTCTACCAGGAAAACTAAAGACACGTATAAAAATCAGAGAACAAAAGGCAACCAAGAAAATGACCAATTTAATGCTTTGGACAAGAAATACCAATAATAACTTTGAATGTTAACTTCTAGGATTTAAATGGAAAGACTGGACCACAGTAACACTGCATATTCAATAGAAGAGAGTTTGAATGTAAGATTGAACTGGCGAAATAGAATTTTATGACTTTTTGAGTGAAACATTACTGATTTTTTTTTACAATGCTTTGTTTCCCCGATTTAAGCATTTTACTTTCTTTTGAGTTGTTGATAGGTTCAGTAATTTGTTAAAATATTTTTCTTGTTTGTTTCCTTAAATGGAAACATAAACTTTTCTTCCTTCCTGATCCCTCTGTAATTGAAAAATATTTGGTAGTATCCTTATTTCGTGGCAGAAGGGTTATTTGCCTAAGTTCAATAATGCTTGTTGCATTGAATCAGAAATTGGAAATACTCATTATTGAACAGGGCTTCGACTGGAATTGTCATATCTGAAAATTAATCAGAAAACTATGGAACTAAGATGGATCTTAAGTAAGCCAACAGAAGCTCTTAGAAAGATGGCTAGCACCATAAATTGTTCTGCCTGGCAGAAAGGATTAGAGAAGATATATGAAAGAATTTACAACATAAAATAACCTAGACTTTTCCAGCCTAGCATTGTAATCAGTAGAGATTGCAGAAGAGCAACCACACCAGAGGATTATCTTAAGAAAGACTTTGAAGAAGAAAAAGAGACTGATCTTTTGCTAGCAGATGGTATATCACAGAATACTTGGTAGGCAGGGCTGAACTGAGAAGGTTTATATGTGACTTGTGTGCTGGGCATTTGCTTTTCAACTATTTGAGTAGTTGACATGTAAATATTTTTTCAAAAATATTTAAAACCATACTGTCTTTGTTGTTATAGAGTCACAAACAAAATTATACAAAATTAAAAGAAATATTTTGAACATTATCTGTAAGATTCAGTATTTTAAAATTTTGAAAGTTGTTTATTAACTGTCAAGAACTATGGAGTATGAGCTAAAGTTTTTTGGTATGTAAAGTAAATGTTTGGGAAAAATGTAACATAAATTAATCAATAAAAAAGAAAGAAAAAGAGTAAAATAAATAAATAAAAATTAGTAACTCTTTTTGAAATGTGTAGGGTATTCTAAGAGAAAAGACATGGAAAAACCAAAGAGCATAAAACAGATAGTGAAAAGATGATCTCTCTTTCACTTCAAATTCCTGGTCCTACATTGCTCTCTCTCGAGGCGTCATGGTTTCCAGTCTTCTGGGTCCTTCTGGAGCAACTTAAAGTATGTAAGCATTTACTGGGAAGCAGACCTGACACATTGCCCCACATTTTGCCTTGTTCACTTAATAGAGTATTTTACAGATAATTCCACATCTACACAAGAGCATCTGCCTCATTGTTTTTAACTGCTGCAAAGCATGAATGTACATAGTTTATTTAACTAGTCCTTTATTAATAGGTGTAAAGTGGTTTCTAGGCATGTGATATTATACCATGGAAACAAATTACACATACATATCTTTAGAACCATTGTTTTATTAGATCTGTGTACAGTGACCTGATGAATTGTTTCTTACCTCAGTATTGCCATAGTATATAACTCAGCATCAGTGTTTTTGTAATGAGAATGATAACTAACATGTATTAAATACTTACTTTGTATCAGGTACTATGCTAAATACTTCATGGATTCTTTTTCTCTTAGTACCTCAATTTTATTATCTAATACATATATTAATGATATAAATGTTTAACATAATTATTTAAGTTTCATTACTTTTATAAATGTATTACATAAAACTAAATTATATAAATTAAGTACTATTTAATGTCTTTAACTTGTTACATTATTACTTCACCTTGATTTTATAGAAGAAATAGTAGCTAGCTTAAACTTGGTGGAGGTGGGATTTGAACCCATGTGTCTTGATGCAGAGCCAAGGTGCTAAATCATCCACTCTGCTGCCCACCCTAGAAAACATAGTATGAGATGCTAAGGCTACCTCCAAGCACAATCTTTTTAGACCCAAGTATGTGCTGGTGGTATATATGTATGGAGCTTCTAACTGAACTTCAGGGAGGTCTTACCAGGAATGATGATCACATGTTGAAAGTTTTGAGAGCAGGTAGCCATGTTGGGCCCCAATTGCTCAAGCTCTCCTAAGGCAGTGCTGCAGCCCCCAGAAGAGTGCCGTGTGCAGTAGAAGTCAATACGTCAGATGTGGACTTATCAGATAATTTGAGTACAACTCTCATTTTATTTTTAGTAGAAACAAAAGTATTTTCTGGAAACAGCAAGAAACTACAAGGAGAAGCACGTGTGACTTTGTCTGCTTCCTCAGTGGAACAGAAGCCCATTAAACGTTTCCTCCCTGATGGAGATAGCTCTCCAAGAGATGACTATCAGTCTAGCAACTTTTCTGAGCCCACAGAGAGACGGCATCAAAGCTTCCTGAAACCCAGAGTCCCTTTGTCTGGGTTTCTTTGTCCCTTACAAGATGTATGCACACCTCCACAGGAAGACAATGGTGTTCAGATAGAAAGAGAGTTCCCCAAAGGTAAGGAGCAAGGTGTGGGGGAGATGAGTCTTACTATTCATGTGGAAAGTGGAACAGTGCCTTCTCAGCCTGATTCACACAAGCTCACCTTACAAAGCTATCCCTCTCACTGTGAGAACAGGGAGGGAGCA